ATTTTTATATATTATTAAAAAAGCATTTATATATAATTTATTAAAAGTATACTATTTTTTTAAAAAAAAAATTATTTATTTTTATAATAAAAAATGATAATGTCATTCCATTCTAGTTCTATTCCTTCTGCATACCAAACGCATGAATGACAAAACATATTTCATTTCATTTCATTCTCATAATTATTCAATTCTTCAATTCATTCCATTCCTATCAAATTCCATTCCATCATACCAATTATGTCATAAGAGTATTGTGGGAATATTGAAGGGTCAATATTTTAATGCAAGTACGATGAGGGATTGAAGTGGAATAAAATTAAGGTCCTAGGAACGGAACAAAAAGTTTAAAAAAAGTTTGAAGGGTGGGTTAGAAGATGGCCAATATATTTTATTAAAATTATTCAATTTTTTTAAAAATACATTTATTTATATATTTTAAAACCTTTTTTAAATATAGAATTTTTAATTAACAAAACCATCATTCCTGATTTGGAGGAGGAGATAATTGCAAGAGGAGCGAGGAAAGGAAATATAGAAAACTGTGCCCATAATCGTCTCTACAACCCCACCAATTTCTGTCTTCACTCTTCAGAGTTCAGCCAACCTTTTGGACACGTCTCTGTCTCTCTCTAAAACCCAGGTATGCAGATTCCGGTGATCGATCTCGGGCCATACTTAGAATTATCTGGAAAAGAGCCGAACCCCGATGAAGACGAGCTCGATTCGGAGATGAGGATCCTTTGCGCGGAGGTCAGCCGAACCCTAAGAGAGACGGGAGCTTTACTCGTCAAAGATCCACGGTGTACAGCTCAAGACAACGACCGCTTCCTCGATATGATGGAGAAATATTTCGAAATGCCCGTCGATTTCAAGCGCCGGCAAGAACGTCCCCACCTCCATTACCAGGTCTGTCTGCCTCTCTCTCTCTCTCTCTATATATATATATATATATATATCTTCTCTCTGCTTCTTGCTGGGTGACTTTCGCTCCCAGTCGGTTGGCTTGATTGTTGCATTTTGATATCAATGATCATGTTTATAAGTGATTTTACTCAATTTTGACCGAGTTCTCAGCTAGCTTGTTTTGTAAAAAAATTATTTTGTGTTTTGCTGTTAGACTGGTTAATGGTTATGTATGTGGTCTATTAGCCATTTTGATTTGGACTATTAACTAGTGAATTCATGGATCTTAACTGCATGACAGACTCTGATATTCTTGTGGAGATATGTACATTGTTAGGCATGCAGACATTCTCCAAATGTTTGGATTTTGCATTATCTGTCTATCAATTTATGGAACTTAACGTTTGTTTTGAGTGAATCAATAATTTTCCCAGTCATTTGAGTTCACTGGCATGACCCGCTAAAATTGATTGTTCGATATTGTGTTTATTCGTTTATCAGGTTGGAGTAACCCCTGAAGGAGTTGAAGTACCACGCAGTTTAGTGGATCAAGAAATGCAAGAGAAGCTAAAAGCACTGCCAGCAGAGTTTCAACCAGCCACTCCCACTGGACCAGATCCAAAGTGGCGATATATGTGGAGAGTTGGTCCACGGCCATTGGTTACCCGTTTCAAGGTCTACCTTGTGCCTTGTAATGTATGATACAGTAGATGTTGTTAAGCTTCTTACTTGACGTGTCTTCATTATATAGGAACAAAACTCGGAGCCTGTCATACCAGAGGGGTTCCCTGAGTGGAAGGATACCATGGATTTATGGGGTTATAAAATGATATCTGCTGTAAAGGTGATCTCTCTCTCTCTCTCTCTCTCTCTCTCTCTCTCTCTCTCTCCCCACAGCTAATTATTCATTTGCTCATGTTGTGACATTCTATATCATTGTCAGGCTGTTGCTGAAATGGCTGCAATTGGATTTGGTTTGCAAAAGGATGCATTCACTTCTCTTATGAAGCAGGTTATTGTTGTTTGGACCTATAATCTGTCTTTTCCTCCAATTTTTTCACGATGAATACATGCCAATCAAATCTGCACCATCTATGAAGATAACTGCCACGATGATTTTAAGTTCTTGGCCACCCATGATGTGGATGGAAGCATAAACTTGTGTCTTGATTTTATTCTATTTCTTGTATATGCACTAACCGCCAGTATCTTGGGTTTGTAAGAGCATCTCCAATGGGATCTTGTCTATTTTAGATAGAATGGCATTAAGAAAGGAGATTAAAAAATTGTATCTCCAACGGTTAATGTTGAAGATGGTTTAATTTGACATGTGCAAAATTTTAATTGGTTGATAAAAAGAAAAAAATTGAATAAATAATATAATATATTATACAAGTTGTCTAGAAGTACTTCTACATCTAGAATGACTTCTAGAATTTTTTTATGCCACATAGTTTTTTTAGTGCCATGTGGCAATAAAATAAGGCAATCCAAAGGCCATTGGAGATGCTCTAAACATCAATAGCAATACATTTGGGTTTATCAATATGTGTTTGGGTTCGCAAGCACGTATAGTTACTTGCTATAATAGTATTGTTCTTAGAATTGTAAGACATATGATGAACCCAAAACTAGAAATTGGAGGGCCGAGTTTCCTTTGAAAAGAATCCCTGTCATTTCAGTGCCCTCCCGCAAGGCAGATGTTTGGATAAAAAAGAAGAGTTTAGCTAATTCAAAGCTACTCTTCGGAGTGCCCCTGTTAGCAGCCGTTGTGCTTCTTTCGAGAAAGCCACTTCGATGCACAGAGTAGTCGGGGATTCTTCCTCGAGTCTTTGCTTAGTAGTGGAAAGCAGGTTGGGTTGTCGAGAATCGTGGCTTGTTTCCAGCCTCTTGGGCAGCAGTCGAAGAATAGCTAGTGTGCGCATCCCTCGACAAACTGGCTTTCATTCTGCTGGGTCGACCTTTAATTAAGAAAAAACTGAACAGTATTTGTTTTCTATTTCCATTGGCTTGGATGAGTTTATCTGCTCCTGATCAGATTATGCAGTCTAAGTAAATGGTCCTTGCAGCATAGGCATCATTTCTATCTCAGAGAATATCTAGTTAAAATAAAAATCTCACAATCTATAGTTCTCTGGGCGATCATAAAATACTCGAGCTCATATTGTTAGTAGGTTAAGCTGTGTTTTTAGGATCATCCCTGCTGCTGCCCTGCCGAGCACAGGAAACCAATCTCGTAATCTCATCTCATCCTTTTAATTAATCTTTCTGTTCCCATACCTTCTACACTGCTGAGCTCAGGAACCCAATAAATATCATTTTCAGAATAAATATTCATTTTGGACTGGCAAGCAAATTATTCATTCTCCTTTGGTGGTCTAGCTTAGTAATTTGGTTGGGTTAAACCCCTCAAACTCCATCTCTCATCCAATACTTGCAGTGCTGTTCTCAGCACTGCTCCAATCATGAGCCCTGGCAAACTTTTTTTCTCAGTATGGATTTCTCTGTTGGAGTTCGTTTTGATTTTTTTTTTTTTTGTTTTTTCTTTCTTATTTTTTCCCAGTTTTATGCAAATCTCCCCTTTTAATTTTTCTCTGTTTTTCTTTCTTTTATTTTCTCCCAGTATTATGCATATCTCCCCTTTGAATTTTGATGCTTTTGCTGTATTATTTTCCATTGTGGTTCTCATTGTGTATGTATGTTGCTTGTTTCCTGGACACACTCTCATAAAGGAATATTCACTTCTCTTCCAGGGATCACACTTGCTTTCTCCAACAGGAAGTGATCTGAAACGACATGGTCAGATAGGCACTGTGTTTGCTGGGTATCATTACGACATCAGCTTTCTTACAATTCATGGAAGGAGTAGATTCCCAGGACTGAACATCTGGCTTAGAAATGGGCAGAAAATGGAAGTCAAAGTTCCTGTGGGATGTCTCCTCATTCAAACAGGAAAGCAGGTATGGTTTTCCTATGTGTTTACGTTCTTCGTTGCCCATACATATGTTAAATGACTTAGCAGATCTCTATGTAAGTTAAAAATGAATGAATGCTTACTGCCACTAAGCTGAGGATAATATATTTTACTTTTGAGGTGACCAATATTTTTTATTGAGTTTCATGTGCCTGATATAATACTCATTTGTGGACCCAAATTAATATTCCCCTTGATTAAACTCATTGACTTTTGGCAATAATTTGATAAGTGTTCACCTCACATTGTATGAGCATGTAGTTAGAGTGGTTAACTGCTGGAGAATGCACAGCTGGTATGCATGAAGTTGTCGTGACTGACCGCACTATAGAAGCAATCAGATTAGCTTCCGAGCAAAACCGCAGCCTGTGGAGAGTATCCTCAACAGTAAGTGTAGCTGTGTATGTAAATATGAGTGTGCTGAGTATTTGGTTGTAATATTCAAATTATGTGCTAAAATGAAACTGGGTAATTTTTCCTTGTGTAGCTTTTTGCGCATGTAGCAACGGATGAGGTGCTGAGACCTTTAGGACACTTTGCAGACTCACCATTAGCCTTCAAATACCCTCCTATCTGTGAGGGTCAGTTTATAGAACAGGAGCTTGCGATTATAAACCTGAAAGCAAACAATGGAAATTCCTGATGAATCATTACTTCAAGACTGTATACTTTTCCTGAAATTGAATATATATATTTTTTCCACCTTACCAACTCGAAGCTTAGCATTTTAGTTATTGGAGGTTAGCAAAGATAAATGCCTGGTAAGATTTGTTGGATGCTTCTTTTTTCATCCATGCCTTAATTGGCCTGGTTTCATAACATGATGTAAAGGCAGTTGCATGTCAATTGCCCGGTGCTAGGTTATGGACTAAAAGTAAAAATAAAAACGAGGATTATCTAGTAGGACATTTTCACTTCATGGGAAGGCGTCACTGTAAAGTGTAACTAGTGTGTAACCCGTGCGAGCACGGGTAAACAATATTAAATAATAATTATAAATTAAAGAGGAGAATAACAATATTAACTAATAGTTTTAAATTAAAGATGTGGGGCAACATCTATACTTATATTAAAAGCTATACTATTTACTAAATGTAGTATGTAGAATAATCAATCTTAATTAATGATTTGCTATTTTTATCAATCATTTAATTAATGCATCTAATATTTTTGGTATGCAAATCAAATTAGGATTTAATTAATTCTTAAAATATTCGATATGCAATATTAATTTAGGAATATCCATGTAGTTCCTAAAATGTTGGTATGCAATACGTAAAAGAAGATTTTTTAATTTTTTTAAATATAAAATATTGCAACACGTAAAACTATTCCAGTTATTTTTTTATTTTATTTTACATATAAAATTTAATCAATATTTAATGTATCCTACAAAATTAGATTTAGTTTAATTCTCCATACAATTGGTTGTAACTTTTTTAGTTGTACATTTATTTATTTATTTATTTTACACTTTTAAATTAATGAAGCTCTCCGAACATTATTAGGTAGTTTCATACATTATTTGTGAATAATATAGAATATTTTAGATGCTTTTATAGATGTTATAAAATATTTTAAGTATTTTTAATATTTATATATCACACTTAAAAAGAATATTTTGCCAAAAAATAAACATTAAATACACATTGTAAATGTTAATAAAAACAGTCTTCAGTATTCATCTTTGATTTTGTTAAAACAATCTCATAAAATTGGTGAAGTCAAAATTTGTACGTAAAGTCTATCTATACTAAAAAAAGGTAGATTCAAAATTCTTTATTTAATTTATTCTTTTCCTTATGTAATTCCTTCTTATTATCTAATTGTATAGAAATCTGTTCTGATTTTGTTCAATTTTCTAATTGTATTTGTATCATATCCCATAAAATCGATTTAACAAAAAAAAATCCCATAACATCCGATAAGTAATAAAAAGTACGTAAAATATTTACTAACATAAAAAAGGCTTTATTTATTATCTAATTTATTATCTAAATGTATGGAAATCTGTTCTGATTTTATAGTACGTACTACAAATTGTGCACCCGTGTTCAGGAGCTACTTAACGGACAAACTATGTGGAAATAACTCATTTAGTGCTTCTGTCCCGTGCATACGGTATGTATTTGTATTACACATACTAGAAAATTGTGCACCCCGTGCATCGCACGGACCCTGTACTAATAAATGACCTTAAAATTCTGCACCCCGTGCATCACCCGTGTTCACATTTTGGCCTATTACAGGTCACGTACTATATATATCCCGTACATTTTTTTTATTCATTTATATAATTATAAGACTTGATAAATAGTCTTAATTTTGTGCACCCCGTGCATCGCACGGGATCTGTACTAGTATATATGTAAGAAGTATCTAAAATATTCTATGTTAAATGCAATTTCCATTCAACAGAAAATAGAGAAAATAGTGTAAATAAAGTAAAAAGGCAAGCTTTCAGTATATACACTAACACGACCCACATGAACGAAATCGGTGATCGGACGGTCTAAATCGGCCAAAATGATCCACGGTCGTGAACAATCCATTTCACCTATAAGGGCAAATTTTTTGACTTTTTAGGGTTTTCATAAGATCCACCTGCACATTTCTTGTTTTTCCTCAACTCTGTTTTCATTCGATTCTGAAGAACGATTCACAAATTAACCTTATGAATCTTATGTTTTGTTTTCAATCGGCAATACATATTTTCAAAAATCGCGTAAAAACGGTGGATCTTATGGTTTTTTGTTAAAATTTCATTTGTTTTCCAAATACCAAACAAGTTCATGGATTTGTATTATGCCTTTTATTTGGATTTCAAAAATTAATACAAATCTCATTTTAGTTTCTGATTTTTTGTCCAAATCGTGAATTTTTCTTTCGAAAAACATGGATTTCAGAGATGATTTGTGAAGGTTTTGTTCAGAGCTCAAAGTGTATTTCACAATTTTTGCTAATAGAAAATTGAAATAGGAAAAAGTGAAAATATTTCAAAAGATACAATCCCCAGTTTATGAAGTAATTTCAGCTTTCAAATCGATGCATTTAGTGGATTTAAGGCCTGAGACCCAACAATTGGTTGATCGTATCGGTTCGCCTGAGACACCATGAGTCAACACCTTCAAACACCGATGCATGTCCTTTAATTCCTGAAAAGGCGAACTCATTGACAGTTTTGTCCCCAAAATGTCACATTGTCTCTATCCTCATTAAATGATCAGCCGGATAGGCGCCACTACACCTTATCTTATGCCTAAGGACGTAACTACCACGCTGTTCACCTTTTTTTAAAAGATTGAAAGTAGTTTTGTGGTGATCTCACACATGGAAAATCATCCGAAAATAAAACGATCGACAAATAACTTTCTGGGCATATGACGATATGCCAATCCTGAATACGATCGGGAAACCTGGGAGCCCCCTCATTGTACTTCGATGTTCTGGGCTGCCCCACCACACCAGTGACCACATTATTTATATTGAAATTGGGCCCATGTCAATTGATGTCGAAACTTATAAAAAAAACTCAAGAGCCCACATGCCCAATTCTATGCCAATATCCTCCAACTCGAGTGCTGATCCACCAGATGACATCAAATGTCGATATCTCTGGCCCGTGCGAACATGAATTGGAAAATCAACCGCCTTACTGGTCCCATCATCAGAAGTCGAAATGTCCCATCATCATCCACGTGTCACACACGCACACTCTTAGTTGACAAATGTCAAATCATTGTCCTTTTGCTTTATACATGTATAAATTCAGCACTTAATGCACCAAAAACACATACAAGAAAATACGATGAAAAATACTGAAAAAACTACACTCTCAAATATATTTAAACACTTACATATTTACCTCTAAATTTTACATTGTGCATAGCTCTATATTACTTTTGCGATCTCTCCTAGGGACTGTATTAGTCCATTTTTACCCATTTACGTATATTAACTTAATTATTTTGGTAACGCTCGTTATCAACATTGTTCATTAGAGTGCATTTATTTTTATAATTTCACAATAAAAATATAAATACTTATGTACTAATTTTTCATTACACAAAATATTTTTTTAATATACCTGTGTAGTACACAGATGTCATACTAGTTACGTGTATTTTAGAATTTCTCTATCATAATTTAGTTATAAAGAACTTTTCTCTGAAAATTCATTTTTTGAATGTTTTACCTTTTTATTCTTTATTGATAATCAAATAATTTGATTTAATTAGTTTCACAATGAAATATATGTTTATTGAAACACTAATAAGATTGGATAACTAATGTGTAATGCTTAAATTATGTAAAGTACTCCGTATAATAAAATATTTTTTTAAATAAATTGTTGTCGAAATAAAGTACACCACATAGACGTGTCTAATGGGCCTTACCCGACAAGTTGACGGTTCATAAAAACCGGCCAAGGGGTATGGAGATTTCGATTCAAGAATTTGCCAGTTCTGGTTCAAACCACTGGGTCCCGGCTGACCCGACAGATCCAAGTATTATTCCTAAAAAAAAAAAAATTCACACACTTCGATTCTTGGTTGGGCTCGTCGACTAGCCAAGTCTGGTGAATATTGATCGTTTACCTTGCAACGACTACAAAATCCTACGATCAAGAATGAATTGTAGTCGGGTCAGACCCTCCTCGAAACTAGATCATAAATTTAAAAAGCTTTGTAAGCTTAAATCATAACCCAGACAATATGAGTGGATCAATTGATCAACGAGTCTGACCTGTCTGTTCAAAACAGACAGACCGATCCGGTCTGGTGGTCATGAGTAGCACCACATGAACTAATTACAATTGATCCCCATTTTATTTAGGAGTTGATAAAAAGTGTAATGTACGTCCGACAAGAAGAGCAATTCCTTTCATAATTTAGGGCATCCACATTGGTGCCATTATATATCCATCTAAATGGAATGTGGAGCCATTAATACCAATTTGGTTTATTCATTTAAATGGAAAACAGTGGGGCCCATAAATAATATTTAGAGCAAAACTTATCAAAAGAATCCAATCATTTTTAACCAACTACTTTTTTAACTCAACTTTAACTCAACACACTATCATCAATATTATTAATATAATTAAATAATATCAATCAATCATTCTTACACACCACATCAACCTTAATTCACTATTCATCCACTCACATAATTTTAACTAACCATCACTTCAAATCATCTCTCTCATACTTTTACATCAAATCAATTTTAATTATTTTATTTAAAATATTATTTTAATATAACCACTAACAACTAACCATACCATTTTTTTAAACTTAACCAAACCAAATCAAAAATCCAAACAACTCAAAAAAAGTTTATATCCATGCATCCCCTTAATCTCTTTGATGATATTTGATGAGATATTTGTGGGCGCAACAAGCAATCTATATATATATATATATATATATAATTACTAGCTAATAGCATTTAAGAAAATCTATTTAATAAAACTTCTAAAATTTTCCCTCAATTTTCGGTTACAAAATTTATCATTAATGTTTTTTACTTTTCACATTAATACATCCTATTGAGTGTAATCATGTATTTTTCTATTATATTATAATAAATAATGCTAATACCAACTAATAATAATTCACAATAAATATATTTTGTATAATTATAAACAATTGTTTCAAGTTATTTATTTTAATATCAATATTACCTTTTTCTTTTGTATCTCATGAAAAAATTTCTTTAAAAACATTAGTAAATTGTTTTAATAGCATAGTCAAACAACTTTAGAATCTTATAAACAATTATTTTTGTAATAATAATAATAATAATAATCAAACTACTATTATCTAATGATAATAAACAATTGTTTTCATAATAATAAATAATCATTAATTTATTTTTCCTAATGAATAAATTTTAGAAATGTAATATGTTCATTATCTAAAATTTTAATATTAAATTCTCAAATATTACTTATAATATTTTATGTACATCTGTGCATGTGCAGATGATATTTACTAG